GCTTCCTTCAACTTTCTGGGAAACTAAGCAGGAGTTTAAACGGAAAACAGTCTAAATCAAAGTAAACCCAAGTGACAAAAATTGGACTGAACCAAACAATCCAAGTGATATTAACAGAGACATGGGATTTGACCTTAGTTCTGAGACGATGATGCTGATACTGAAGCAAGTACTGCTGCAACCCTTTCTTTGCAATCGACCCCATGCTTTCCTTGTTACAACAAAGTCTTCCAATGGCAATTCTTGAGAGGAACTAAAACTGTTTGCACTTCTCAGTTTATAGTTTGGAGGCAATATCTGACTGCGAGTCGGAGATGTTGTTTGTATTGTAATTTCTAATTTGTATGGTCTTGCATTGAAACCTTCTCCCAAGCTTAGGGGTGTATTCAATTAAGATTTTAAAAGAGATAAATGAAGTTATAAAGTTTGTAGAGTTCAATTGATTTCTATCAACTCCACGTAGAGTTTGATTGAATTTCTAGATTGATTTTGATGCTGCTTGTTAAGAGTTTTATCATAGATTTTAAAAGAGTTGATTAGAGTTCTAAAATATATATATATTTTTTTTCTTTTTTTTTGGGGCTGTTTATCGTTTTTCTAGATTTTTAAAAGATAAAAGTACATTTACAAAAACATTTGAGCTATTGAACTTCCGAATCAATACATCCAAAGAAAATTAAAAAAAAAAGGGCATCTAATTTGTTCAAATGTGCATCCAAATAAGGACTTCTGTTTGCATGTTTATGAAAAATGCGCAAAAGTAAAAACATAAAAGTAATTTCATGACAAAAAAATGATAAGTAAATTATAATTCTAAATGCATAAAAACGATAAGTACCATCATGGACGAAAGTACCATCATGGACAGTGGGGAGTGGACTTTTTGGAGTTGTTTGCTAGAAATATCTACTTCTTTTTGGAGTGGCCCGTCATGGAAACATACTTAATTCTCACAAAGTCCAGTCCAGTGGGAGCAAATACAGGTTGTTTTCATTAAAATGCTTAACCAAGCCCTAATTGAAATTGAATTGTTCGGCGCCAAGAAGATCGTTACAAAACTTAAAATGATTAAGAGTAGTTACCCTACTCTCGAGCCTTGAGTCCCGAGTCCCTTCCCTAATATCGCTTGTAATAAAAATAAAAACTTAACATGCTAATGTGTGTTCTTTAATTTACTTGGGAGCAAGAAAAACTTGCTGCATAGCAACTTGCTTCTCCCTCGGTTATGCCTTAGGTTAATGAGGGAAACACATTCCAAATTATCTGCAGAAAGTTGCACAGCATTCTAAAGTAGCGACCACAACCATACTTAATTATTTACTTATTATAATTGCTTACAGAAAAACATGACGGAACACATATTCGTACATAAGTTTTCAAGGAAAAACACAGCAGCTAAGAACGTCTTTCAAATTTTCAAACACCTGATGATGCCATCATGCCAACTCTGTCAAGTCGATATGTATAGAATTTCTGATGCTTCTTTTATCCCTCTTGATCTGGAGGAGCTTGTCAAAGACACACCATGGAAAGCTTACGAAACGCTCCCTTCCCGTTCCCTCCTTGTAGCAACCAACAAAGTAACGAGGATGATAAGTAACGTAGTACCACGCTGATGCTTTTGCTGCACATGCATCATCGCCATCGGTGCTGACATTCAACCGAAATTCGCTTCCCTGCTTCTCATAAAACCATCCCCTAGCTTCCTTCTTCAATGACCTTACCGCGAGACCAATATTTGCTTTCAAGTCCTTTCTTGTATCGAAACATTTGGATGTTTGAGCGAAAGTCCCACTTAGTATTTCGGCTTCACTTTTGATGCCGTAATATTCCATCAGGTTTTGCAGCTTGCAGTCATACTCACGTCTGTAACGGATGGCCTCATTGATGTAGAGCTTAAATCCATCTACCTCCATGTCAGGGTCATAACACTTCTTAGCCACTTCCGCAGTGAAGGACTTAAATTTAGAGCTTGAACATGAATGAGATACAAGCTCAACATGCTCCTTCACCTGTCGGAATAGCTTCCCGATCACTCCTTTGGACTCGTAGGTGGGTTTGTCAAGCTTTTCCATGAAATCTGGGTATTCCTTGGCACGCAGACGACCCGGCATTTTGACTAGCTGACCAGTTTTCGGAGAGTCAACAGCGATGGAGTTGAGCTTGGCGAGATCTTTACACGGAGCACTCATAGCCTTGTCTGGCTCTGTGTCTGCAAAGACAGTATGAGCAGTTGAAATGATCCCCAAGTTGTCGTTGACTATGTAGTTTGTAAAAGACTCCTCAACTTCCTGTAACAAACACAGTATAACATCAAGTGTAAAAGGAAATATGTTAGAATATATGCATGATATAATTTTACTTGATAAACTCAGAGTCATATAATATACCTCCAGTGTAACATCATGATCCAATTGCACAGTTCGTGCCGGGGAATAATTCATGGGTTCAATTTGGCGAGGAGGAATTAGATCAGGGTCCCAACTCACTAAGTACAAATCTCCATCCAAATCACCTCCTGAGCATTCATTAGGATGTGGTCTAATTTGATGGCAAAGCAAATATAGTCAGTAAATAGTTCAAGCAATCTGAAACAGGTTTATAATTTCATCAAATGCAAAGTTACCTCTTTCCTTTCTGCGGGAAAACAACACAATCCACCAGGTGGTGCAATGCAGGCACATTGACAGCCATAAGAACACGCATGTCCCCCGGGTGTAAACACGGGTTTTTAGCCACTACTACTTTTCCCTTGACAATAAAACTGTCTTCGCTTGAACTGCTGCCGCTGATGATATGGGAGGAAGCATCATAGAATTGTTGGCTGCCACGGTGAGAGCATTGCACAAATACCTGACCATATTCCAATGTGCCGGTTTCATCAAGACATCCCATCATAGATCTTCCGTTTGGGACAAATATCCTTGTTTTGCTTCGCAGTTTCTGGAGCTTTTCTGCGGAGTATGCATGTAGCATCATGGCCAGAAATGGTTCTGCATCTGGTGTGTAACCACACAAAACCATTTCCTTTAAAATGTTGATGACCTCTCCCTGAAACAATAATTCCATCGTTTTCTGTTCTCTCAATGGATCAGCTAAAACGCCATCCAATTGATTCAAAACCTGTTTTTGCTTTTCCATAAAAACGTCATCTGGAACTCCGAGGGTGGACAGAAGGGTAATCACTTCTCGATTAAGGAAGTAAGGCTGGTACTTGCTCCATTTCAGAACATCTAGTGTTGTGTTGTTGGATTGGTACTTGCACATGCTCTTTCTCAATGACAAGTTCTTTGACAATGTTGGATCAACTGCCAGAACACCTTTATAGCCACCATATCGAATTTGGAAGACAGATGGAGTACGACTTAACTCGAACTTTCTTGCCACCCTTGCAGCACAGTCAGCAGATATTTTCCCAATTCCATCAGAAAAGCAATACTTAACTCCATCCCTTTCAATTTCTACATCCGGAATGAGTTCAACTTCATCCTCACCAACACTAAAAGCCTCCTTGGAAGAGCTGAAAGACTGACCAAGCCTGGCAGCATGTTTTGCCACATTTCTAATCTCCTTAAAATCACCCATCCAGTTTCTGATGTCTTGTGCTGTGAGCTCACTTCTTGAAGCAAACATCCACACAGAATGACCTCGTAATTGACTTGATGAAAAGGCAAGAAACTCAAACTTCTTCTCACCAATAACTATGCCATTTTTTAGGATAGAAAGTATCCTTTCATGGACTCTTGTTGGCCTTTCTTGTTTTGTTGAACGCATACATAAATCTTCTGAATGCATCTTGCTCAAGTCCTCATCAACGAAAGATACACGAAGAAAGTTATCAACATCTTCAGGATACTTTCGGAAAAGGCGATTCGAATGATTTATCTCTGGACCACAGAAATATACTTTAGATGGTGTTATTTGAACCCTGTGTACATACACCAGCCCATCATCCAAAGAAATAGCAGGTGTTTTGGCAATTCGCTTGCTTGCCTGGTGCTTTTTGTACTGGTTTCTAAGCCAACTCACGGGTTTATAGCAGCACACTTTTAAGTGAAATAGTATCTCCAGGGCACACTCTATATATTCAATTGTTATTCTACTAGGATCAACTAGCTTATAAAATTTGACATCAAGTGCTTGCCCAGGAACACATCCATACTGCACCAAGGAATTTATCTTGAACAGGACTTTATATGGCAACTTAATGCTTAGGGGTGGACTCACCATAGGAACAAGATCTGAGCTACTGGAGAAACCGTTGCCTCTCTCCAGAACGAACCGTCCTTCATATTCTTTATAATGAACAAAAGTGCTGCCTAGATTTGGAAGCATCCACCTAAGTGGAAGCTCCAAACATACAGCAGAAGATTGCCCAATGCAGCAAGCTGGAGTGAAATCAACTTCTCGAACCCAGTAATTGTCAGAAGCTTCCTTTTTCTTGTTCTTAACAGGGACACCTTTCTTATAAATCCGAGGCGCACCACGTAACTAGCAGGAGGAAGAAGGAAAGGAAGAGAAAAATGTTAAAAATCTTCCCCCCCCCCCAAAAAAAAGAGCCACGCATAATATAGTAATTGTTTTATGTTTAAGGAAGATCAAAGCCTGTTTCAACAGCATTCAAAGCAAGTATAGAAAGGATGCATGGCAGATTAATATATACTAGAACAGGGGAACCAAACCTTGATGAGAAGAAACTTTGCAAGTTGACCACATGGACTATGTAGCTCAATCTGGTTAACATTGTCATAGGATATTTCTAGCTTATATTCAACAGAATCATAAGAGAAAAAGAAGTAGAAATGTTTAAGTATCATCCCAAATTTCACTGAAACATCGGATAGTGTCCAAAGCACAGAAAACCGTTCCTTAGAAATCTGGCATCCAAAGTGTAGCTTTACAAGTTCCATGCTAGGTTGCAAGGTTTTTGATTCAGGTACCATGTCAAACTTCATTTCTGTAGCTTTCACATTTGATTTCCCATACGGCACATTTTGTCGAAGATGATCTCCGGCTAATTTCAGTATCATTTCAGCAAACTCTGCATGTGTGAATTGAACCATGGCAGATGCTCTTGTTTTTCCATCTTTGTGGAAGACCTTCACAGCATAAACAGTGCCTTTTCCAGTATGTTTCTCCACAAACTCTGTCACTGCTTCTGGGGACTGAACAGAGCAAAATCCATACAACTCAACTGTCTTAACCATATTGACTAATTGATGGCAACTTGTGTATCTGAGAAAAACAATTGAAATTAATAGCTGTGAAGAACTAAAGTGAAAGTAAAATCTAAAAGGAAAAAAAGAAGAAAAAAGAAGCTAATGCAAATGAGAGAACGAGTCGCACCCTGAATTTGAAATGTAAGCACTCAGATACCACCAACTGCTAGCTATGTGAGAAGAAAATTGATTAGGCCCATGAAGCCACTATATGTAGAAAAGAGAAGAGGACAGAGGTGTGAGAGATTCTTAGCCTTTCAGTCCATCTCACACAGAGTAAATAACTTGTCATGGTAATTCTAGCAGAAGGAAAAAAAAAAAAAACTTGTCATGGCAGTTATTCCATGTGTCTTGCAACGAATATAGAGCAACGAATGTCATGATTCCTTACTTTGCGGTAATAACATTGTAAATGTTCCTCCTAATGTGAAGATTACGTGACGAGGTATCAAAAAAGGATAGTGATTTTTCACGTTCTCATTGTATCCATTCGCACTCATTTCCTTTTGCTTTTATACTTTGGTAATTGAGTAAGCAAAAGAAAAATCAAAATATAAAAACAAGGGGACAAGTGCAAATGGACAGAATGAAGGAGAGTGTGAGAATAGCTATTGTAACATTATTTGTTTTTAGAATACTTGGGATTTTGTTGTTAAGAGTTTATTAATCAAATTGGTTTTATACCGTTTTACTCTTGACTGGGAGGAGGAATCAGATTACTTCCTTTCTAAAAGCAGTACTAGGCTAGACTACTTTTTGGAAAGATGGAACTTGCTCACTAAGGTAAGACAGATGGAGCGGTCCACCACCCACCACGAAAATTCTAATCCTCCTAGTGAGGGGGAGAGGGCTGTTTTGAAATTGCATTGGGACTTGCCAAGAACCTTCTGCAAATTTTGGACCTAATAGTAGCATCTTGTGTTTTACGGTTAGATAGATGCCTCGAATGCAGAAATACCTCTCCACATGAAGGTCACTTGGTCAAAACTTAACAGAATTTGGAGGAATTTAACAGAAATTGAAACGTGTTCTTGAATTACTCCAATTATAAGGATAAAATTGATAAAATTAAAATTATGATGATTAAAATGATAAAACCGACAAACTGTAGGAAAAAAAAAGAAGAAATAATAAACAACTATGAACCCAAATGGGCCGGCCCACATTATGTGGCGGTGGAGTCCATTACGAATCCACCAGCACCCGCCCTCGCAAACCGAAACGAATTCAGATATATTCCAATCAATCAAATTCAAACAGAAGAAGAAGAAAGCTAAGTCACTGCCAACGATCTCAATCCTGAAATTGCAGAAATGGCGGAGGAGGAGACGAAGAAGAGAAGTGTGGTGGTGGAATCCTTGGGATGGCTAACGGAATCTTCAATAATGCCCAAGAAGCACCGCGCCATCGCCGGCGTCGGTGCCTCCTCGATAATGGAGCTCAAGGCCCAACTCTATAAGTCGCAAGAAGACTCCAAGAAGTCCAAGGAACTCTCCGGCTCAGAAGTCGAGTTCCACCGCGCCAAGAAGAAGATCACCTCACACGATCCCTTGTCCGCCAAGAACTCCGGCGTCGATGCCCGGGCCCACAAGTACGTATTTTTCTTTCTTTTTACGCAATTTTTGTTTCTGGGTTTAATTTCCATTTCCTTAATTTTGCGTAATTTGCTAGTATTGGTGTAATTCTGGGTATCTAGGGTTCTTACTGTCGTCTGAGTATAAATTATGAGTCTTTTGGGTGCTGCTTAGATATAAGATGAAATTTTTGAGCTCTCTGTTTTGGAAGGTTTGAATTTTATCGTCCGCTGCCAACAGTTTCTTGTGCTTCTTACAATATGAAGAACTTTAAGGATAGTATCCCTAGTCTTTAATTTGGCTTCCTGCTAAGATCAATTTTGTGTTTTGGTTGGTTTATATTCAGAGACAAGCTTGAGCTCAAAGCAGTTAATGATGGATCAGCTAGCTATGCAGCATTGGAGAGGAAGGCCGCATTGTATGATAAGCTAGTAAAGGGGGAGCTATCAGATGAGGAAGATAAGGAGAAGTATTGTGTGGATTTTTTTTGCAAGAGAGTTGACCAGGACGAACCGCAGCAAACTCAGCATCATGATTCGCCTGCTGTAGTATCTTCGGAGAATCAAGATGGTGATAGTGATGCTTCCATGCTGTTTAGCATGAAACCGTTGGGGCTTGGGCGAGCAGCTGCAACAATGGACAATGATGTTTACAAGAGTTTTGTGAGGTAACAATTTCAAATTATTCCAGTATAACTTATCTATGCTGTATGAAAGTTTAGTTAACCAAAAGTAATCAAATAATTAAAGGATTTCATCACTTCAGTGTATTTTTGCTATTGTTATTCTTCAGTGATGCCACTTTCTATAATAATCTGGAGACTAACATTTAGCCACCGTAATTTGGTTGTTGCTACTGTTACTCATCTAAGCCTTGGGTAGTAGAACTAGAATCTCACTGATATTGATGAGTTTCTTAAGCTGAATACTTTGCACCTCTCTTATTCCTGTACAATGTCTTGAGTGCCAGGCCATAGATAGAAAGATGCCCTGCAGGAAATGAGCTGAATAAACCTGGGTTTGAGACAAATCCTGCTAAAGGATAAAATAATATAGCTTTAGACCTAAGCTTTAGAGACAAAAGCTAGGAATCTGGTTGATCAATAAATGAAAGTATGATTTGGCTTAGGGTTTTTTCTCCCATTTTACTGTTTGTCTGTTTATTAATGAGTTTCTCCATTTATGTAGTATGTTTCTTATTGCTTGATTCTAATCCTTTATAGTCCTTGCAACGGATGCTGATTGCTTGATTGAAATCTCTATGTTCCTGGCAACAGTCATCTCATGATTTTCACTCTTGTGTTCCTTTTCTTCAGGGAAGTACACGAAGAAGCAAATGTAGCGAGAGAGAAGGCATCTGAGCTCAAACAGCGCAGGGAAGAGCAAGCAGCGGCTCGTCGTGAGAAGTTAAAACAGGCATATATAAGGAAACAATTGGAGAAACTAAAAGCGGCGTCCAACAAGGAACAGACATAATAGGCAGCAGGAGGCGATTTCCACAACATTATTCTAGCAGTCATCTTGACAGTTTCTGAGTCCTGTTGTTCACTTCAGGGTTACTATTTAATAGGAAGAAAAAATCATCAATCAATTTAATCCCACAAAGTGGCTCTGTTTGTAGTTTCTTCATGTTTGTACTTCTGTACAGTTATTAACATTACAAGAAAATTACCATCAAGTCTGAAGCGAGATTGCTAATTCACAATCAGTTTTTCAGTTTAACCTATGTGTCTTCTGAATTTTGGGACAATAGTTACTCAAGAAGATTTGGACAGTATTGTTACACATAATTTGTTTGGTAGCAAAAAAAATTAAAGATATAAAAATGTAACAAATTTGAGGGAAACATGACAGAGGGTTAGCATTGAATGTTGAATAAATGAGGTGATAAAAAAAAAATTTGATGTCAGAAGTGGGATTTGAACCCACGCCCTCTTTCGAAGACCAGAACTTGAGTCTGGCGCCTTAGACCACTCGGCCATCCTGACAGATGGTTATAATGCTTCAAAATAAATAACTTAAGTAACTACAATGGTATTAAGAGATTAAGGTAAAAAAATTTAAAAACAAAAATCCCGACGACTCTGCTGGGGATCGAACCCAGAATCTCTGGTTCCGTAGACCAGCGCCTTATCCATTGGGCCACAGAGTCGCTTGTTGGTATTCTAGCTTTGTAATCATATTTATAGGAAGGTAGAATAAAGGCCAGTTAGTTCACAACCCTTAAAAAAATCGAATCTTTAAATGAACTAATATAGTTGTAATTACCTTGAATTAAAATTATTCTTCTTAATACATTTTTTTTTTCATGAGGCAGATAAATAAAAGAAGAAAAAAAAAGGGAGTAAAATGGTCAAAATTCAACTTAATTAAACAAACCCCACCAAGAAAAAAACATAATATAACATAATTAAACAAAGCACTAGCAATGCATGCATGAGAAACTGAATAGCTCTACGTGTCCTGCATGCACGTTACTGACACATCCACCGCAACATCAAAACCTATGCCTCCTCGCCACCTTTCACCACAGCCTCCTCTTCCACCTCCACCTCTTCACCATCCACCGCTTCCCTTACACTAAACGACAAAGACTCCCTCCTCACCAAGAACCTCCCTGTTGGCGGGACCCACAGGTTCAGCAACCCTTGGGGCCTACCAGACGGCCTCCACACTTGCACCGTCATGCACTGCACCGGATTATCCGCCGGCTCCCGCTCGTCCCCGCCCTTCAAAACGTCGCACAGCAGCACCCGGGCGCTGCCCACCGGCTTCTCCCTCACGTGTCCGTGCGCGTAGATGTCCACGTTCAGCGCCGCTAGCACGTCGTTCTCCAGCAGGTCCTCCCGGAACTTCACCTTGACGACCTCATTCCAGGTGGGGTTGGTCCCGCCCTGCTCGTCCACGCCCGTCCTCGCCGCGTGGTATTCCTTCTCCACGTACACCACCGCGTAGGCTCTCACGTGCGTCACGTGCTTCACGTCCTTCAGGTCTTGCCCCGAGATTATCAGCACTTCTATTTCTCGGAGCTTTGTTGTCGACGCCGGCACGACTCGCCGATATTTCGGCTGACAGTGACTCATTTCCTAGTCTCTAGATAGAGAAAGTCGAGAGTTGTTTTTTTTCGGTCAAAAGAAAGTAGAGTTTGAGCTCACTCAAATAGATGTCATGTTTGTGGACACTGGCGGACCCAAGAATTTTTCAGGGAAGGGGCAATTTGTAAAACGCTAAAAGCTTAAAAAAAAAAACACCAAAAAGATAGACAACCAAATACCTTAGAATTTCTTATCCCAAAAAAAAAAAAAAAAAAAAAAAAATATCATAAAGGGCACTCAAAACCAAATAGTCAAATTGAAATCTCAATTTAAATTCAAGTATATATCTAAATTTCAATCTACATGACTTGTCTCATCATGCTAATTCTACATGACTTCACACACAGACACACACACACATATAATTATACTATATACAAGTCTTCATATAGTTATTGAGCACTGAATGGAAAACCTAGTCTTTATTACTGAACGTACTGGTATTTAAGTTTCTCAAATTGAAATGTCAAAATTTTTATAAATTTGATTTGTGATTTGCATGCTAATTGATGATTACTTTTTACTTAAAAAATAAAATTGTTGTATGTCCCGATGTAAGTTTTTGTTAGATTATGCGACCCCAGCAGCTTTAATGGAGATTTCCGGCGCCCGGAGGTGCAGGTGCACCTCCTTGCGCCTGCACAGGTCCGCCACTGTTTGTGGATAGTAAATGGCTTTGTAAATACTTGCTTAGTCAAGATGTATTCTTACTCTCAACCTGAGTTCCTTCCAATCCTCTTTAAATTAAATTAAAGTAAATTATCATTTGTATAAAAATAAATATAGTAAATAAGCTTTAATGATGGGCCCAAATTCCAGTATCCCAAAACAAACAAATTGTAATGAGAAAGGGAGTCCTTAATAACAGTCGACCAATTACAAAGTTATTATTGGGCCCCCAACACAGCCGCTCAACATAAACTCATAGAAGCTCCCGAAAATGGGCTTTAATTTGGATGGGCCCATTTGCTACTATGTGGGCTTTAATTTGTGGCCCAAAAGGCCCTAATAATGTGTGTACAGCACAGAGCTCAAAATGTCACATGCATGGCACTGAAAATTATTCAAATATTCGAAGCAATAGTGATTCCGCTAATCTTGCAATTTGGAAGACAGGCTGGTACAGGATTTAAATGAAAGGGCACAACACCACCCTCAAATCATTTTGTTTGTGGTTAAAGCAACATAATGTGGCAGCTGGCAGATTCTTATTGGCTTAACTCCATAAAACCCTCCCTATAAAACCCAATTAAGCATTCTCATTTTCATCAAACCAAAACCATAACCCACTTCTACACTTCTGCTTATTACAGATCGTTAGCACTGCCTCGTTACTTCTAGTTGCTAATTGAGAATTAGTGATCAGAAAAAAATGGAGGGTTGCAAATTGGCCATGGTTTTCACCATCTACATGATTGTTCTTGTGAGCTTCGCTTCTTTCGGGGCCACGGTTGCTGCTGAAGATGCTGCTGCGCCATCACCAATGGAAAGCACAGCAGCAGCTCTGGGTGTTCCTGCTGCACTAGGTGCCATGGCTTCTCTGCTGGCTTGGTTCTTTTAAACTTGTTCATTTGATTCCATTATTTGCTTGTTCATTTCTTTTTGAAGTGCTGTTCAATATGATGAACTAAATTTGATTCAAGAAATCAGGTCCATAATGTTACTACTTTTGCCAATTATTGTTAGATTTAATGTCAATTCTTTCATCTATGTTAAGAAAGGAGGACAATGGAACAATAATCCGTTGCCAGATTCATATATACCAAAGTAACTAAAAGAAATGATAATACAAAAGGAACACTATAGGCAAGCACATATATATCTTCCATGAGAAGGCTACTAGAATTTGGGATACTTATATGCCAACATAATAATCTAGAAGCAATCTCAGTGAGTCAAAGCTCACCGTTGCTTGATGGAGCCGAAAAGATCCTCATATGAACGCTTCGGGGCATCAGGACGCGAAACAATCTCCACAACCTTGTAAGATGCTTCAGGATTTACTAATGCCTCTATAGCTACTTCTGCAACCAGATCTCTGGAGATACTGCCATCAGTCCTACCAAGAGAGATCAGAAAGAACATTAAGTTAAAGCAATTCAGCTTTTAGTAACAAAACTAAATGGGGAAAAATTGTCGCAGATTGTGTTACCTCTGGCTCCATCACAAGGTTTCCTGTGGGAGGATCATTTTTCAACCCCCCAGGCCTTATTATTGTATAGTTTATACCAGATTTCCTGATATATTGCTCTGCCTGAAGCTTTGCTATTAAGGTCAGTCCAAAAACATTAAGGAATATGTAAGCTGGATTGAGAATCTGCCCCATTGCTGCTCCGTTGACTAAGATGGAACTGACAAGAATAAATCTGTTCACACCAAGTTTACGGCACGCTTCAACAAGGTTGACTGTGCCAAAATTATCAACCTGTATTGAAATAACCTTTTTCAGACATCAACATATTATCAAATAGCACAAAGTACACCAGAGAAAAAACAAATGCAGATGTGCAATTCTAGGACTATCAAATATCTGAGTTGTGCACATATAGAACCATTAAATATTAGTGGCATAAGAATAGAAATCTGTATTGAAGTAAAGGTGAAGTGTGCGCTCGTTTTCCACTAGATGTTTGAGCAAGGAATGTTCCTTCAATTACTAGCCAGAGGCTAATACTCCGGATTCCACAGACATATATTTCAAGCAACACTCAATTGCTAACATAAAAGTAATGCAACAAATGTATAGGGAGGTGCAATGAACTGCAACATTGCTATAAGATTGTATAACAAATCTGTTTTCTTCTGCAGGTTGCTCAGCCTCAAGTAGAAGGTTGTGCAAACTATATGTTTAACTACCCGTAAATGTCTAAAGTGAAAATCTTACGATACATACCGATTAAAAAACAAACACATAATAACTTAAAACCCCAGAACGGTGACTCTTCTAATGAAGAAGCTGTTAATCAAATTCTTTCCTGACCAGAACCAGTGTCTGATGGCACAGTCTATGAACCTTGTTAATCATCAAGAGAGGCCTCATTCATTAAAAGTTTTCCACTAGATGTTACCTTCTCGGATAATGATTAGACAACTAGAATAATACATCATTAAAATCAACTTACTTTAGCTATTGACCTGCTCTCGGATAAAGATTACACACCAATATGCATTTAACTCCTAACAAAATCTACCAACTCATGACATTTGGTTAAGACTGACTTAAACAAATAACCCCTTTGCATAATTACCTCAATCGAAAATTAAAGGACTTCATAAAGATAAAATTTGCACCGCAAAGTGAAGGAAATAGATGCTAATTGCACAGATAAACAATCAAAGTGACCTTCCATGGAGCAAACAAATCCCATCCATAGCTAAATCCTGTGGCACAAATTACTGCTTCCGAATCATCACTTATTGCTTCTGCTAGCTTGGCAGAACCCTCTGTCACATCTGCTTTCACCTATACAAACAAACACAAGAAGAAATTTCATCCAAAACCCAATAAAGTAATCATTCCCAAAAACAGAAGAGACCCAATTTAGTTTCCAGCATGAATTAATACCAGAATTTCCAATTTTGAAGAAACTCACAATTTGAAGAGCTGGGTTGTCTTGGGGAAGGCTAGCTTTGGCTTTCTCCACGTTTCGAACTCCAGCTTTAACTGCAAACCCCTTAGCCAGTAGCTGCTCAACAATTCTTTTACCAAAAGGAGAGAAGGAGAGAGAGAGAGAGAGAGAGAGAGAGAGAGAGAGAGAGAGAGATACCTGAGTGGAATTAACGATGGGAAAGGACCTGGTGTTGGTGGGAGAGTAGGAAATTAGAGAGAAGGGTTTGGTTGAGGTTTTGGCTATGGAAAGAGGAGGGTAGAGAAGATGGTGAGTGCAGAGACGGAGAGGAGGGTGCCTGAAAATGAGAGGCAGAGGAGCTGCCATTTGCTTTATCTTAGTCTTAAACACTCACTTATCTTTCTTGTCCTCCAAGTCCAAGCCCAAGTCCAACTTCCAACCAAAACGGTCCCTGTCTTTGCATGACATTTTGCGGTGTGAAACTGTGGGTCTGCAAACTTCCACATCAGTGTTTTTCCATTGCTTCTTTTTATTTTTATTTTTGTCTATTTTGTCTGCCGCTATATGATAAATACTAAACTTTAACCCATTTAATTAATAGAAAATATAAAATTTTATAAATTCAGAAATCCTTAATCTTAAAACCCAAAGGAACCTCGTTTTTTATGGAGGCAGCATCATGTAGCAGCTGATAAAGCCAAAATACAAGCAGATGATCCTATGAAACTATGTGAAAGGCCACACCAGCCTCAAATGATTTTGTTTGTGGTTAAATAAAACAACATAATGTAGCAGCTTGGCAGATTCTTCTCAGTAGCCAACTCCACAGACCCTCCCTATAAAACTCACTCTCTGCATTCTCATTTTCGTCAAACAAAAGCAAAACCCACTTCTAAAGTTCAAGTTCATAAAGAACTAGTAATCAGATATGCAGGGTTGCAGAATGGCCATGGCTTTCACCATCTACATCATTGTGCGTGTGAATTTCGCTTCTTTCAAAAGTGACCGCTGCTCTTGGAGATGTTGCTGGGATATCTTCCATCATCAGAAAGGCTTCTGAAAAATGGGATACTACTGTGCCAACATAATGTTTTGGAATCAAACTCAGCGGTCACCGTTGCGTGATAGAACTAAAAAGATCCCCATATGAACGCTTGGGGGCATCGGCACGTGCAACTATCTCTACAACCCTGTAAGATGCTTGGGGACGAACTAATGCTTCAATAGCTACTTCTGCAACCTGATCTCTGGAGATTGTGCCTTCGTAGAGAGTGTCCTACAAAGAAAGATCAGAGAGAGCATTAAATCGAAACAACTCAGTTTTTAGTACTTCACAAGATTAAATGGGAAAATTCATAAAGTCTGCCTAAAATATGTATAGATTACCTCTGGCTCCATCACAAGATTTCCTGTTGGAGGCTCATTTCTCAACCCACCAGGCCTTATAATCGTATAGTTCATACCAGACTCCCTAATATAATCCTCTGCCCGAAGCTTTGCAATTAAGATCAGTCCAAAAACATTAAGAAAGATGTAAGCTGGGTTGAGTATCTGCCCCATTGCTGCTCCATTGACTAAAAGGGAACTCACAAGGATAAACCTTTTCACACCAAGTTTCGGGCACGCATGCATCTACAAGGTTGACGGTGCCCAAATTATCAACCTGTAGTGAAATAACCTTTTTTCAGACTGCATAACATTAACATCAATATCAACAAGTGCACCAAAGGAAAAATGCAGACTTGCAATTCTAGGACTATAAAAAATCTTACTGATATTCGAATGTCAAACTGCATTGAAGCAAAGAAAAAGTGGCTAGCCAAAGGCTAAGACTTTGAGTTTCACCAATTTTAAGCATCAGTCGACGCATGTATTGTAGGGAGGTGTAATCAATTGAAAAGTGGCTATAAGATTGTGTAGCAGAGACTTGTTTGCCTTGGGTTTCCATGATTGTTAATCTTAAACATGCATTCATACATCAGTCAAAACCAATGACACTATATAATGATTTTGCTCCATATGTGAAATGGGAATAGATGTTAATTGCACAAATACAGAATCAAACTGACCTTCCATGGAGCATACAAATCCCATCCAGAGCGACATCCCGTGGCACAAATTACCGCTTCTGAATCGTCACTTATTGCATCTGCTAGCTTGGCAGAACCCCCTGTCACATCAGCTTTCACCTACAAACAAATACATGCCTTCTGTCATCCAAGACCAAATAGTAATACATTGAACATTCCCAAAAACAGAAGAGACCCAATTGAGTTTCCAGCATGAATTCAACATATGATGTCATAGATTCTCTCACTAGGAGACATTCACCCAATCTTTGATTTGTCTTGCATGTTTGGAATGACACCAAAATGAAAAGTGTGCAACACGACAGCAATGGTTTTGCATTCACCCAATCAAAAGATGTTCAAACATGGGCAAAAGTAAAACCACGAGTATTAAGCACAAATTACACCGAGCCGACCAAAGGGTCAGCAAATTGTTCATACATGTCCAAAACTACAAAAAATAAATGCAGGTCTTTAGCTCAGGAGTTGTGGCCCCCAGCCTCATCGGAAATAACCACAGCAGAAGGGTTCTCATGTGACGCAACTTGGTCAACACTTGGATCGATGGGCTCGGCGCCTTGAGAAACAGGCTCGGTACATATACTAGCAGGATCGCCAACTGAAACAATAGGTTCGGTACACGGGCCAGTCGAGTCCCCACCCTCACCTTGCTCTGCTGGAACCTCCTCGGCTCCACCGTCTAGAAAGCTCCAGTCCAGGGAAGGATACTTCTCCCCTACCTTCTCAATGAGATCAAAGTATCCCTGAACCCTCTGACCAGCAAGCCTCTCCTCATACTCAACCGATTCGACGAAGTCTTTCACAGCATCATCATAACACGAGCGCTGCTCGGAGGAGAGAGTTTCGATCTTCTGCTTGGCCTCAGCCAATTCCTTTTGCGAATGCGACAGATCTGCTCTCAAGTTTCGCTTCTCCTCGGGAAGCTTGCTCACCGAAGACATCAGCTCGGCATACTTCTTACTCTCTGCTTCCAGCCGAACCACCGCGAGCTCCAGCTCGTCCTCAGACTTCGGTTTCTCGCCAATGGTTCGATTTAGCTCGGCCACAGTCACGGCATGCTCATCCCTTTTTCCTCGGTCAAACTCGCGATGAGCAGCCACGTTCCGGGCAGCAATGAACAGCTTCACAGTGGCCTGCATTGAAGTTCAGTAAGAAACCAAAAACAAAAAAAAGTCGCCAAGGCCAAAGGGCAAAATAGGGTCGGAATGGGCTACCTTCATCTGGTCCTCCAATGCAGACAGGGTCATGCCGCTATATCCCATCTCCTCGGTAAACAACCCTTCTACGACCTCCACCTTCAGAAGTCGCTTGGTTAACTCGTGATACGAGCTGAGCACCAATTCCGCATCCACCCAGGGCTTCAGGGGACCACTCTGAGGACCCACACTAGTCCTTCGGCCCGCCTCTGGCACAAACGAACTCGCTGGCCTCTTGCCCATATCCCTCCTCGGCTCCTCTTCAGCGCGCCTCTTCCCGGTATCGCGGAGTAACTGCTCCTCGGCACGTCTCTTTTCCCTCCCACGGGCAGCAGCCGAGGAGGCACTTTCAGCTTGACTCCGGGACACCGACATTTGCGGAGAACCACCAGCCCGAGCCGATGCAGAAGGACCGGCCGAGCCACCTGACGAGCCTTTCTTGGCCAGATTCATCAGACGAGCTCGCCAGTTTGGATCATTTCGGTCAGGCCTCATTACTGCACAACCAAGGCAAAATCAAGACGTCAAGGTCAAAATACTCCAAACCACACCACAGATCCGTGATTACACAGCTGCTGAGCTGAACAAACCTTCGCTAGCAAGAAGTATGTCGGCTGCTCTCTCGGCAATTGGCAAGGAAAGCACCTTGTGGACTTGCTCCTGCTCGGCAACTCGGGTCGCTCTAACTCAACTGCGGAGAAAATCAAACACGGTTAAGACTAACCACAAGTGCGTACGTACCAACATTTTGCTTAGTCTACCGGGTTCTCATGTGGCGAGCACTGCCTTTTTTCAATGTCAATATGCGAGGAAGGCCCTTTGCTCATTGCTTCCTCTCAATCACAATATATGTTCCTGAAATTTCAATGCATAACAAATTCAACAATTCAATTTGGTTTCCCTTCAATTCTTAACATGAGTCATGAGTGCTAATTAATCATCCACCACATTCAAATATTAATTAATCATCACTACCTCCTGGTCAAAACTTTGCTAAAGCTGACTCGACATTCTTGTGCATCTTTGATTGAAATTTGAAATCTGCACAAAACAAAGCAAACATCTGTAAGCTCATTGTACTTAATGTGGATTAATTAAATATTTTAATGACCAATTAAGCTTGTAATTAGCTAGGCAAGGAGCAATAACGCAAATCTAAAAATGCTGCTAACAAAAGAGCCATAGACTGTCTGTTGCATGTGAAAGCAGCAAACTTGGGGTTTGAAGCAAAGAATCGTTCGTACCCTTAGAAGCTACGCACAAGGCACTGGAGATCAATATTCCTAATCATAATCACAGGAAAATAGTCCCCCAAATTTGTGCTCAGACAACAAGATTTCCAAATCCCAAAAAATTACGAACACAACCAAAATAGCAAGCAAACAGAGAGAGAAGCGGAAGATCATGACTTACTTGAGGTGTGCGCTGCGTGATTGTCATTGTCGGCAGCAAGGAGCAGCGGCGTGGTCTGCTGCGTCTGAGAGAAGAGAAGCAAAGAGAGAGAGGGAAGGAGAAGAGGAGACTGAAGGAAAACCTAATTTGCGTAAACTAAAAGGGGCTGTTTCGTTGTAATCAGATATGGCCAGTTCTATTCTAAAAAAATAGAACTGGCCTAATAAAATAATATTTTTTATATTGTATATTATATATAATATATTAAAAATATATATTAAATACTGGACCGGTCCGGTTCAGTCCGATCCTATGCTGTCTTGTGTAAAACTAGAATCGGAACCGATTTGAACCTGTCCAGCCCAATTCGGTCAAATTTTGTTGACTTTTTAGTCAACTCGGTTTTTTTCTCTTTTTTTTTACGTCCCGTCCGATTTGATTTTCTGATTTTCCGGTTCCTATGCCCACCCCTAGGTTAAACCCCATGTGGTGGGTTACCAATTTACCAACTTACTATACCATGGAGTATTTTTACCATGATGACATTGGCATAGATGATGGATCATGGATGGCATGAATTTTTAATAACCAAAAGATGAATGTTCAAACCCCCAGCATCCACTTGAGTTGAGTCCTTCATTGTATAATTTCCTTTGAAAAAAGCAAATGACGAAACCATTCTCTTCACTGAATGACTCTGTTAATTCATTCCAAGGTAATTATTTTGTTAATTTGGGGCTAAATCACAGTCACTGCCAATGCGAATGAAGCTTTTTCATCAACACAAAATCGAGAAAGTAAAATATATATGGTGGGTTTCCATCCCAACATACCATACCATGGAGTATTTTTAACATTGATGGCATTCCCATAGATGATGATCATGGATAAAATTTGATTTTTTCCTCAACAGGACCATGTGAATCGTAATGATGGGTTTCCGTGAAGTATCACATTATGAACTTCAAAATTGAGCTGGCTCGTGGGACCCAGCTTTTAGTCTAAACCGTAGCTGCAATAATTATTTTTGACTATATCACGCCAACTGGCGCCCCTATAACTGCTGGGCTAAGACTAAGGCTAACGTAAATAACTTTTTAGCCCTGTAAAATTTGTTTTTTGTTAAACAATACCATGTGGAGGGTGATGGTTTCCATGAAGGAATTTAAAGGGTCATGCTATCCTAGGATGCCAACTTGTGTACAATCTCTCTAATAGAGATTGAATTCTCGTACCTCTATTAGAACGATAGTATTAGGGGTGGGCATTGGGATCGAAAAACCGGAACACCGAACCAGACCGATGAAAAAAAAATCAAGAAAAAAATCAGTTGACCAAAAAAGTCAACAAATCGGACCGAACCGGTTCCAACCGATTTAGGTTTCAATTTTACACAACACCAAACCGGACCGGTTGTATTCTTTTATTTTATTTTATTACAAAATTTTAAAATCCAATGCTATATTTTAAATTTTATAATTAATATTTTCTCCAAATTACACATTAATATGAGTAATGTGTAATTGAACGTAATTTGTGTCGTTAGCATTTGTATTGACAACTATGCAATTTCCAAATAGTGGAAGGAATTTCAAAGAGACAACGCCTTTGTCGATGTTTCAGTTGTTAATGCATGTCCTAGAATTGTTGTGCAATTGCACATCCATTGTAAATAATTGCATATAAAATTTCAAGACATAATGTGAACTTACATGTAATTACTCATAATAATTGGATAATTGTAAAAAGACTATGCAATTGCACGTACCATGACGCAAAAACGGAATGACTCTGTATAGATTAATGACTTTGAATGTAGCAAATTGCCCAGGATTTACTAATGCCTCTATAGCTACTTCTGCAACCAGATCTCCACAACCTTGTAAGATGCTTCAGGATTTACTAATGCCTCTATAGCTACTTCTGCAACCAGATCTCCACAACCTTGTAAAGAGTGTCCTACCAAGAGAGATCAGAAAGAACATCAAGTTAAAGTAATTCAGCTTTTAGTAACAAAACAAAATGGGGAAAAATTATCACAGATTGTGTTACCTCTGGCTCCATCACAAGGTTTCCTGTGGGAGGATCATTTTTCAACCCCCAGGCCTTATTATTGTATAGTTCATACCAGATCATTTTTCAATAGAAATCTGTATTGAAGTAAAGGCAAAGTGTGAGCTTGTTTTCCACCAGATGTTTGAGCAAGGAATGTTCCTTCAATTACTAGCCAGAGGCTAAACTCCGGATTCCACAGACATATATTTCAAGCATCACTCAATTGCTAACGTAAAAGTAATGCAAACAAATGTATCCTAGGGAGGTGCAATGAACTGCAACATTGCTATAAGACTGTATACCAAATCTGTTTTCTTCTGCGGGTATAAACTCAGCCTCAAGTAGAAGGTTGTGCAAAACTTGATGTTTAACTACCCGTAAATGTCTAAAGTGAAAATCTTATGATACATACCGATTAAAAAAACAAACACATAATAACTTAAAACCCCAGAACGGTGACTCTTCTAATGAAGAAGCTGTTAATCAAATTCTTTCCTGACCAGAACCAGTGTCTGATGGCACAGTCTATGAACCTTGTTAATCATCAAGAGAGGCCTCATTCATTAAAAGTTTTCCACTAGATGTTACTTTCTCGGATAATGATTAGACAACTAGAATAATACATCATGAAAATCAACCTACTTTAGCTATTGACCTGCTCTCGGATAAGATTACACACCAATATGCATTTAACTCCTAACAAAATCTACCGACTCACGACATTTGGTTAAGATTGAACTTAAACAAATAACCCCTTTGCATAATTACCTCAATCGAAAATTAAAGGACTTCATAAAGATAAAAGTTGCACCACAAAGTGAAGGAAATAGATGCTAATTGCACAGATAAACAATCAAAGTGACCTTCCATGGAGCAAACAAATCCCATCCATAGCTAAATCCTGTGGCACAAATTACTGCTTCTGAATCATCACTTATTGCTTCTGCTAGCTTGGCAGAACCCTCTGTCACATCTGCTTTCACCTATACAAACAAACACAAGAAATCATTTCATCCAAAACCCAATAAAGTAATCATTCCCCAAAACAGAAGAGACCCAATTAAGTTTCCAGCATGAATTAATACCAGAATTTCCAATTTTGAAGAAGCTCACAATTTGAAGAGCTGGGTTGTCTTGGGGAAGGCTAGCTTTGGCTTTCTCCACGTTTCGAACTCCAGCTTTAACTGCAAACCCCTTAGCCAGTAGCTGCTCAACAATTCTTTTACCAGTATTTCCAGTGGCACAAAAGGAGAGAAGGAGAGAGAGAGAGAGAGAGAGAGAGAGAGAGAGAGAGAGAGAGATACCTGAGTGGAATTAACGATGGGAAAGGACCTGGTGTTGGTGGGAGAGTAGGAAATTAGAGAGAAGGGTTTGGTTGAGGTTTTGGCTATGGAAAGAGGAGGGTAGAGAAGATGGTGAGTGCAGAGACGGAGAGGAGGGTGCCTGAAAATGAGAGGCAGAGGAGCTGCCATTTGCTTTATCTTAGTCTTAAACACTCACTTATCTTTCTTGTCCTCCAAGTCCAAGCCCAAGTCCAACTTCCAACCAAAACGGTCCCTGTCTTTGCATGACATTTTGCGGTGTGAAACTGTGGGTCTGCAAACTTCCACATCAGTGTTTTTCCATTGCTTCTTTTTATTTTTATTTTTGTCTATTTTGTCTGCCGCTATATGATAAATACTAAACTTTAACCCATTTAATTAATAGAAAATATAAAATTTTATAAATTCAGAAAGCCTTAATCTTAAAACCCAAAGGAACCTCGTTTTTTATGGAGGCAGCATAATGTAGCAGCTGATAAAGCCAAAATACAAGCAGATGATCCTATGAAACTATGTGAAAGGCCACACCAGCCTCAAATGATTTTGTTTGTGGTTAAATAAAACAACATAATGTAGCAGCTTGGCAGATTCTTCTCAGTAGCCAACTCCACAGACCCTCCCTATAAAACTCACTCTCTGCGTTCTCATTTTCGTCAAACAAAAGCAAAACCCACTTCTAAAGTTCAAGTTCATAAAGAACTAGTAATCCGATATGCAGGGTTGCAGAATGGCCATGGCTTTCACCTTCTACATCATTGTGCGTGTGAATTTCGCTTCTTTCAAAAGTGACCGTTGCTCTTGGGGATGTTGCTGGGATATCTTCCATCATCAGAAAGGCTTCTGAAAAATGGGATACTACTGTGCCAACATAATGTTTTGGAATCAAACTCAGAGGTCACCGTTGCGTGATAGAACTAAAAAGATCCCCATATGAACGCTTGGGGGCATCGGCACGTGCCACTATCTCTACAACCTTGTAAGATGCTTGGGGACGAACTAATGCTTCAATAGCTACTTCTGCAACCTGATCTCTTGAGATTGTGCCTTCGTAGAGAGTGTCCTACAAAGAAAGATCAGAGAGAGCATTAAATCGAAACAACTCAGTTTTTAGTACTTCACAAGATTAAATGGGAAAATTCATAAAGTCTGCCTAAAATTTGTATAGATTACCTCTGGCTCCATCACAAGATTTCCTGTTGGAGGCTCATTTCTCAACCCACCAGGCCTTATAATCGTATAGTTCATACCAGACTCCCTAATATAATCCTCTGCCCGAAGCTTTGCAATTAAGGTCAGTCCAAAAACATTAAGAAAGATGTAAGCTGGGTTGAGTATCTGCCCCATTGCTGCTCCATTAACTAAAAGGGAACTCACAAGGATAAACCTTTTCACACCAAGTTTCCGGCACGCATCTACAAGGTTGACGGTGCCCAAATTATCAACCTGTAGTGAAATAACCTTTTTTCAGACTGCATAACATTAACATCAATATGAACAAGTGCACCAAAGGAAAAATGCAGACTTGCAATTCTAGGACTATAAAAAATCTTACTGATATTCTCATGTTAAACTGCACTGAAGCAAAGAAAAAGTGGCTAGCCAAAGGCTAAGGCTTTGAGTTTCACCAACATAAATTTTAAGCATCAGTCGACGCGTATTGTTGGGAGGTGTAATCAATTGAAAAGTGGCTATAAGATTGTGTAGCAGAGACATGTTTGCAGTTATCAGCTTACCTCAAGTAAAAGGTCGTGCAACCTTAGGTTTCCA